AAGGACAGGGGAGGATGGGACAGACATTCTGCAAGGTCCTTTACTGATATTAGCATGTATCACAGGGACCCTCTCCTTGACCTTCCTAGTGAGCACCTCCTAGAGGTGACCCGGACAGTCACTTCAGAGACGCTAGATAGGAACCGACCCAAGGTCAGAGTATTTTCATAACTACCTTAAAACTGGACGAAGTGTCACGGCCTTGATATGACCTCCAAATAAAGGAAGTTATTGGTGTGAAGAACTGTTCAAATGATTTTTGATTCTTTGGTCTTAGGGACGTTCCAAAATTGTCCCATTTGGGATACTCTAATTTGCCTTTGTGCCACTGACTATAGTGCTCAGTTGTCCTCTGACGTCGGGGAGAACAGAAACTAAGAACTGTGGGTATGTCACACAGCAACAAAAGAGGATAATTTTTGTTTAAGGTTTATGTAGTTTTTTTTTTTTTTTTTAATGCATTTGGTTGTTACAGGATCTCACTTCGCAGCTTGGACTCGTGGTGCTCCTCCTGTTTTCAGCCTCCCCAGCACCACATGCCATGCCAGCCCCGCCCCCAGGGCAGGCTGAGCCAGCCAGAGTCCAGGCATAGTGTCACACGCCTGTAATCCCAGTGCTGGGGAGCCAACCGCGGTTCCCGCACTTGCTGAGCTTGCCTAAGCATTCACTTTGGTCCGCTGAGCTATCTTGCCAGCCCTAGAGAGGGTGAGGATAGAGAAGCCTCACGTGTTATTCCTGAGGTGCAAGGCAGAGCGTTGCTCTCATAGGCAGCAGAACCGAGGCAATGCCAAGGCCGTGCCAGCGCAAGGCCCGCGTGAGGCGGTGCACACCTTGCAGCTCTTCTCCTGCATCCCTCCACTTACTCCAGATCCATGGTTGCATTGCACCCTTCACCTCCACTTCTAAGTAACCGGTTCCAAAAGCAGACAGTGCCACAAGACCTCCTCCCAGGTTTCATGATGCCGTTAAGCCAGTTGTTCATCCAGTTGTTCAAGCCAAAATCCTTGAAGTCATCCTTGAGTCTTCTGTTGTATTTCATATATTTGCTGCACTTAAAAGCTTCTTTCCAGTGTACTTTGAAAATGCGCGCTGCATTCTGCTCTTAGTTCTCTATCACCACCCAGTTTGCACACAGTACAGAAGGACTCAAGAAGGCCTCCTCTCTGTGCCCCTGCTTCCTATCCTGGAACCTGTCCTCTGGAAGGACCAGGATAACCAGCCGCAAGTCCCAGTCCGATTGCATCAGCCCCCTCCCTGCTCAGGATCCACGGCAGCTTCCTGTCCCACTTAAGGTGAGGCCAAAGTCTTCGCGTGCTGTGCAGGTCTCCTCCTGGCTTCCAGCTCCTGCTCCACAGAACTCTCCTTCCCTGCCCACCCGTCGCCCCTCTCCCTTCATTCTCAGCCACACCACCCTCCTTGTTACACCGCCAGGCCCCCGATTATTCCAGTTCTCATGCCTCATGCTTTTCCTCCACAGCTGCCTCGTCAGAAAGGCTTTCTACCTGAAGGTCCTCCATCCACACTAGGACTCCCCACTAACTCCGCTCAAGTTTTATACTTTTTCATCTCACTGCTCAACACTACATATGCTATATAATTTAAAAAACAATGTTTAGTTTTTAAAAAGCTTTACGGTAAAAGACACATGGCCATTAATGTCCCTTGAAATCCTCCCCCTTGCTGTGAACACACGGATCCCCCATTCTCGTCCCTGGCTGAAGCAGCCTTGGACTCCTCTCTTGTGCCCTCATTTGCACTGTTGCTGCTGCCTCCAAGTCCTGTATCAGCTGACACGCTCACCTTTCGTGCAGCTGACACGCT